TAATTTTTTGCGAATTCTCAATGCCTGAGAAAAAAAATTTTGTCCCCCCCCCCCCAGAAACCCCCTCCCCAAGAAATTTTGGGAAAATTGAAATATATGCCATACTTGACTGTCCTATCAAACCTAAACTAATTTTACTGCTTTAACAACATAAAATGTATCATTTATAATGTATAGAATTGCCATGTTTGACATATTTGTGAAGTCCTACAGTTACAAATGCCTTAGTTTTGTCCAAGCAAAAATACAGATATGGCCAGTACTTGAGAGAGGACTGCAAGCTGATACACCCTGTGCTGTTTCAGCAGCCCATGTACTTTAAATTTTGCTGTCTGTTTAACAAGAGCTAAGTTATCAGTGCAAGTTTCAGTCTCCCTCTGAAGCTTCGGTGCAGTTTCTGCCCCACCTCCCTCTGAGCCCCCCACCCCACAAGGACGTAGTACAATAAGCTCTCTTTTGCCTAGCCTGTGGGTAAGTGTGTGGCAGTGGTTTGAGCGAGAGGTGAAATGGTCAACCAAGGCAGGTCAAAAGGACAACAGAAGGCCTGCAACTGTTGAGAATGAAAGCTCTCCATGCTCCCCTCATGAAGATTAGGTATCCTCCTAGGGGCAGAAATGCATCTTGGATTTAAGACCTGTATATGTGTACAGTATTGCCTCTTAGAAAGCATTTCACTCATTTGGAAAGAGAAAATATTTCATAGGGGTTATTTTTTTCAGTACTTGCCAAAATGTCCAGTTTTTCCATCAGAGAAGTTGAAAAGAAGTTCACAGGGGAAAATACTCTGTTTTCTGAATCCCCCCCCAGCCTTCGTATCTCTAGATGGTTGTAGAATAGTGGTTGTGTCAGTGCCCAGACTTTCTCCAGGTTTGAAGCCTTAATGACTGATCATATGGGAGGGTTAAGCATGTGTGTCTGTCTGAATTCTGAGAAATGTCTTATTTGAAAAATTGCGGTGATGAGGGCAAGAGAATGGATGGAATCATCTTTTTTTTTTTTTTTGGTATTTTTTGTATTTTTGTATTTGTGTGTGTGTGTGCGTGCCCATGCCTGGAAGTCATGGCGACCTCTGGTGACTCCTACTGGGGCATGGAGGACATTCAGGGAAGTGGCTTGATAGCCGCCATCCCCTGGTGTTCCTTGGAGGGTCTCCCTTCCAAGTACTTCCCAGAGTTGGCCCTGCTTAGCTTCCAAGATCTGATGAGATCAAGCTTGCCTGGGCTATCCAGGTCAGGGCTGGATGGAATGATCTTGTGAGTTTTCTGCGATAAATGACATTGTGGTCTAAATCAGTTCATGCCATGTATCTACCTTGGCATCAAGTTTAAAAAACGAGAACGCGGTTATGTTTTTGTCCCCAGGTATGCAGAAAAATCTGTTTGGTGTTTGTGTGGCCCCGATCTGCAGATTTATCTATTTATTCCTTTGATTTATAAACCGCCCTCCCCTGCAAGCAGGGCTCAGAGCAGTGGACGGCAGTTCAGATAAAAATTCCAAATAGACAAATTCGCATTCAGATGAAAACATTTAAAAGCGACCGAAGGATACAGGGATTTCATTCGGCAGAGAGCTCTCCCTGGTCGGAACCAGGGTCGAAAAAACCCTGGCTCTGGTTGAGGACAGCTGGATATTTTTCTGGCCAGGGATCACTAGTAGATATCTGCAGATGGGGGCAAGGCTTTGCTATTAGATATAAAAATTGATGGCATCCGTGTTTAGCTTAATTTTAATGCAGCTGTTGGCTGTATCAATGTTGTGTTTGAGGAACTGAGGGTATTTATTAGCAGCCACCCTGAACTGAGGGTTTGGTATAGAAATAAATCGAATAAACAGACTATATTGTGGCCAGAGACACCACCCCCTATAGGGGGTGGTGCCAGAGATCATTGCATTATTCTCCTAGTAAACATAAATTTCTTTTCAGCTGCAAGCCAATTTTTTTCATTACCCAGAGGAACATGGGGAACTTGATTTTTAAATTGGTTGTCTTTTTTGCCCCTGCTACCTTTGGAGGCTTAGATTGGTTGTAAATCTAAAACTACCCTGCTACACAGAGGTGGTACAGTCCTGCAAGGAGTGTACCATGTGCAATTGGTAAACACTTGAACTGGCCGTTGAGTACCGCTAAGCTGAGTTTGCCTGGGATAGGTTTCTCAAGGTCATTACAAAAGAAGGTGTGGCTTGCTATGCAGACCTCACACTATCCCCAGTTAAAGTACAGGTGTAGAAGTCTTGTATGGGGACATTAAGGCAGGCACTGTGTGCTCCTCTATGCTTGGTTTTTCTAGGAAATTTGGGGTGCTTTAGAGAGAGCCATCACTTTTTAAAGCCATAAATTGGATCCTGCAGGTGGTTCCACTGTGGTGCTTTCCTCGCTCCTCTCATGTTGTAGGTTTTCTGCCGGTGGAAGGAACCTCCTTTGTCAGAGGAAGGTTCTTTGCGGGTGCCAGGGCACCATGCTGGGGACTCCTGCTATAGAGACACTACTCCTTCTTTGGGCTTAGGTGCGCAGGCCCTACTCTTCTGCTGGTTTGTCAAAATAATCTTCTGGTGCACCTAAATTTCTGTTCAGGAAGCCGGAGGTGTTTCTCCAGACAGTCACTCATGCTTCCTGATACCAAAACCTGCTGAAACAACCCTGTTTCTGTTGATGATTAACCTGAGAAATTTCACAGAGGTTAAAAACTAGCCATTTTAGCTGGCTTTACTTTTGTGTATCAGTCAAAATGCAGAAAAAAAGTAGAACCACTAAATTCTAACACATTGCAAGCGATTTGCTGTAAAATCTATAGGGGAACACTGTGCAAGACATCAGCAGTAGTTCTTTTGCTTTTAGTTAGAACTTAAGGAACAGTTCCATCAGTTTTTCTAAGAATGGCAGCATGCAGTAACTATGAAAGCCAAAAGTCCTTAAAATGCATTGGCATGACATACAATGTGCGTGTCCTGTTTAAGCCTGTGGTTTAGACAGTTGTAGCCCACTGGATTGTAAAGGTCTATGATTAAATCTGCTTTTCCTATGTAACCGTAATGGTATATTAAAATGTACTGTTGGGTTTGGGGGAGAACTGGTTTGATGTAAATGAGAGCCAATCTAGCTTTGCAGGCAATTTGTCTTTTCTTTTGGGGGCTGATCTGTTTTACAGTCCCTTTGCTACTTTGAAGGCTCCCAAAGTCTACTCAGAGGTGTTGGTTGGTTAGGAGTTTATCAGTTGCAAGTTAAGATGGTCCATTCAACAAGAAATTCCTCTGGTTGGAAGGAACAGGAGAGGAGAAAGACTGGGGGCTTGTGTATGATTGAGAAGTGGTGCAGGCTAGGGTTGAGACACAGGATTGATGAGGGGGTTGTAACATGGTGGTAAAGATGATTTGTGTCCAGAAGGCCATTGGTTCAATCCCTGGCACCTGCAGTTAAAGGATCTTGGGTACTAGATGCTGGAAAAAGACTTTGCCTGGAGACCCAGAGAGTCCAGAGCTGGCAGTGAGCGCCAGACGATCTGATTCACTCTCAGGAAGCTTTGTGTGTTCATTTGACACAATTGGTGGAAAGGTACCAAGACTTATTAAATGCCAGTGAATGAATGAGTTCCTCAGAAGCTGTTGGGAGCACCATGAGAATTATTCTAGTCACAGTCCTTTGGTCTAGTTTTAGATGCGTTCTTTATGACGGCCCTTTGCAGATACAGATATTGTCCCCAAAACTCTGGTTCTGCCCATCCTTGGCTGCAGTCACACGGAGCATTTGCCGCGCTGACGATATGGATGGTAGGCGGATTTTCCGGGCGTGATCACACTGCAACATCTGGGAAGCGTAGAGCTCCCGTGGCTAACCCGAGGCTTCCACCGAAGATGCGGAGTAAAAAACTAGTACCTCCGAGGTACTAGTTTCCGGAAACCGCGGGGCAAGGGCGGGCGTCTGATCGCGTTTCCGGTGAACTTACGTGGCATCCGCCGCCCGCCGCTGTTCGTCACACACAAGGGGTTTTTTTGTCTCCCAAGTCTCCGCAGGTTGCGCAACAGCGCCCAACAGCACATGCGCACAAAGAGCGATTGCTAGTGCGATCGTGCGGTGCAGCTTCTGTGCTGCGCTGCAGGATAGCCGTCTGGTAGGCATCTCCCCCCTAACCACGGGACCTCGACTGGGACGTGTGCTCGGGCGGCCGCATGTTAGTTTCCTCTGGGGCAATTAGCCACGGCTCCCCCCCGTGATATCCGGCCCGTGTGACCGGAGCCCTTGTTGAAATTGGCTGTAATAGATACACAGGAAACTCACCTCGATCATATGGAAATGTGTGAGGCACGAAATCTAATGTTAGTCATGCTTTTTCTCCTGGGGCTCATTGTTCGCACAGTATAAAGGGAGTTCAAAGTTCCTTACTCTGTCCTTAAAGTACTGTTGATGCCTAACCTTATTAAACCACCTGTTCTTAAGAGTCGTTTTAAAACTGAGTGCTCAGACTGCTTCTACAATGACTTTCCACCCTTTTTTCTTTCTAGAATCCAGCAACTATCACTAGGATACTCCTTAGTCATTTCAACTGGGATAAAGAAAAGCTGATGGAGAGGTAAGCCAGAACCTTCTCTCTCTCTGGGGCTGTTTTGTTTTGGCTGCCTAAGATGTTCCTGGTAATCTGCTAGCACTCCCATTCTCTGTCCTTAGTTGCAAATCGGTATTCATGAGAAGGTTGCAGCCAGCATCCTTAAGTAAAGGAAATGCAGTCGGGCGCTGTGGATACAAGAGTGCTTCCTTTCAGCTCAAGAGGGGCTTAACTGCATTAGCTGTTTCATAATAAGAGAAATGGTTGTGTTTGGGGGTGGTGGTGGCCTTAGGGTGGGGTTAATAAGTAGATGGCTGCTTCCAGAAGATTGTATTTACATGGTATATAAAAGAAGCTCGGCCTTTAAAAACAAGCAGCTATTTTACTGCATGTGCTTGTCCCAAAAGCATCATCATACTCCTATGTAGCATGAATATACCTCTGAGTTACCAAAAGCAATCTAGTTTTTGGTGTCATTGGTATTCCAGTTACCCTGGGATGGTTGGGCTTATTTAATAATGACTGAAATGGCTTACCCCCAGTCACGTGGACAAAAGTTACTTTCTTTGCATCTTGTTATATTTAAGCACTTCAGTACCTCAGAAAATGGTGTTTAATTATATGAAGTATCGGCAATGTGTGTGCCTGTGTATCTTTGAAAACTGGATATGTGCCAACATGGATGGACTAAGGAGCTGTAAGAAAAAACCCAGAAATTTTTTAACGGTGTTACGGGTTGGACCAGAACCAACAGGTTGAAATTAAATCAAAGGAGTTCTCGGCTAAACATTTGGAAGACCTTCCTGACAGAGCAGTTCTTCAGTGGAACAGGCTTCCTTGGGAGGTGGTGGGCTCTCCTTCTTTGGAGGTTTTCAAACAGAGGCTAGATGGCCATCTGACAGCAATGCTGATTTTGTGAACTTAGGCAGATCACGAGAGGGAGGGCAGGAAGGGTTGCATCCGTGCTTAGTTCTTGTGGCCCTTTCTTACAAGTCCGGGGAAATGCTGATTGCCATTTTGTGGTCAGGAAGCAATTTTTCTCCAGGCCAGTTTGCCCGGGGATTCTGGAGGTTTTTGTCATTTTCTGAGCATGAAATGGGTCACTGGTGTGTGTGTGTGTGTGGGGGGTATTTGTAAATTTCCTGCATTGTGCAAGGGGTTGGACCCTGGAGTTCCCTTCCAATTCTATGAACTATGATGAATTCAGAACCAGGCTGTGTGCTCAAGCCATACAGTATAATGAACGTGTACTGTGTGAAGCAATGTACTTCCTGGTTCTCTTGGCCCTTACAACAAGGTGTACTGTTGGTCCCCCTAGGTCAGCATAGTCCACTTTGGTAGCAGCTCTCCAGGGTTTCGGGCAGTGAATGGTCTTTTTTGTCATATCAGCTATCTGATAACCTTTTAACAGAGAATAGTAGGGATTGAACCGTCTGCTCTACCACAGAAGCCGCCCCTTCGACCAGCATTTATTCCCCTGGTCATATAAACCGGATGTAATAAGTATGTTAGGTAAACACATCTGAATTGAATAGCTGAAAATATTTATCATTTGGGCCCACTTTGTCCATTATTTATACAGTCTTGGACTCTATGAGAAAGGTGGGATATAAATATTTCAGAGAAGTTATTCATTTAAGCAGAATGCAAATTCTGCATTTTTTTTAATCTGCAGGATTTATGTCAGCCTTAAAAGTGCATGTGCCCAATGGGGATCCCGGTTTTTCCTGAGAGTAAAGCATTAACATTGGTCTCTTTGTGTTTTTTTGTGTGTGTGGGAAATCTAAAGTGGCGTCACAGACTACTGGCTGGTATGGGAACAAACACATCCAAGTTGTGTGTTTAATTCTGGTACTCGTGGGAACACCATTGGGATATATTTATTCTGGGTTAAACTTCTGCTTTGATTTGTATAACCCTTCATTCTTCTAACACCTTTGAAGGACCATTTGCACAACTGCTTGATTTGTTTGTATTGAAAGCCTCTTGAGCAAACTGTTTGGAAAATCCCCTGGATTTAAAATGAAAAGCAATTCCAACTTCCAGAATTTCCATCTGAGTCCAAGTCTTGGTTCCCCCTCCCTTATGCACTTCTTCTTAACTGCCGTTGACTCACTTCCAATCTCTCAAGATGCTTTTGTTCCAGTAATACTTTCTAGGAAGTGGTTTCCTTTAGTCTGCATCTAGGTTGCTTGGCTAGGGAATTACTGGGAAATGCTTGTGTATTTGAGCAGTGCAAAAGTTAACAGCGGGGAATTCTTGCCCTTTTATGTTCTAACAAGTTTTGGTGAGTGAAATGCAGGTTTATGATGAGTCAAGGTATGATGGTATCCAGGCCAAGTCGA